ACTTCAGATCATCTGCTCTGCTGCTTGCTGTATGATCTCCAGATATATCTGCAATAAAGGTAATAGTGCATTTTGATATTTGGTGTGTGACTGAAATTCTTTCCACTATCTGGACTCAAGAGAAGTCTGGGACTTCACAATTTGGGGACTCGTCCGGGATAGTGGAAAGGACAATTGGGAGAAAGGAGTGTCTTTGGGTTTCAAAGTCTGAGACAGCCGGCTGTGTGAAAGGTTTAGGCTCCTACTGAAAAGCCTGATTGATTTTTGACAAATTTTCTCAGACTGCGATAATATAAGGACTACTCAGAAATTATATTTTGGTCAAAATTGGGTTTGAGTCCCGATTGTTGAAGGTAGAGAGTCTGGGACACTACCTGCGTCACAGTTGTATTGTTTTTCCTTGCGGTTGGTCGTGCCCACTGTATGCTGACGAGCTGCAGGTAACCGTGTCCGAGGGACTGGTATAGACTGGGTTTGAGATCCCCGGGGTGTCGAGGACCCCCGAATTCTGCTGTTGGTCATAGCCAAATTTTTCCTTGCGGGTTGGTCGTGCCGCCAAAATATTGAGACAGGGTCCAATATTATAGGACAGGGTCCTAGACTGGGTTTGAGTCCCGAGAATTGAGGAATCTCGAATGCTATATTGGCTGGGTTAAATTTATTAAATTACCTTTGAAGCAGTAAAATGGACGAGGAATTTGATAGGGAAACAAATTATGTAGTCCCCAAGATGAGGAGTGGAACCCTATAGATGTGCAAATACAGGCTCTTTTAAATGCAATGAAGACGTCGGGGGACATTGATGACAAAAAGGAAAAGGAGGTTAGAGGAAAAATAAAGGATCTTATGGAGGAGAATGGATATGGGATGCAAGAATGCAAACCATTGTGTAGATTAATGTGGAGAATTAGCAAGCAGAAGAACGTGTCAAAAACTGAGGAGGAAGGAAAATTGAAGGATGGATCACTGTTTAACCGAGGTAAGTATGAGAAGCGCATTAAAGAATTAGATAAAGAGATTTAGTTGTGTCTGAAATGGGCAATAATTGCCCAAGGTGATGAGCATATGTGTAAAAAGAGGTAAGTGGAGGACAGGATGTTGAACAGCTGAAAAGTGCAAAACAACCTCCAATTTACAGGAGGAAAGCGGAACGCCAGCTGCTTCCGCTCCTCCAGGCTTGTCAGGACTGTATCCTGTATGGGATGTACATGGAGGAGAATTGATAGTAACTGAGAAAAAATCATCAAATCCATTTCTGTCTGAAAATATTGTTCCTGAAGATCCTTTCGAACATAGGAAGGACAGAGAATACTCCAACGTTAATAATGATGAGGCTGAAGGGCGGTGGTGCTCAACCCCTGGTTCGCGGACCTCCGCGGCCACCCAAGGCAGACTGCGGTCCGCTGAATTTAAGCTTTTGGAAAGGGAAGAAGAGGGTAGAGTGAAGGAACAACAGATGCTGAAAAGGCTTAGACGGGACAAAATCAGCTTGGAAAAAAGTTTACAAGCATCAGAGCGCCAGGTGTCTGAATTAATGGGAAAACTTGACAGCTCTAATGAAAGAGGTAAGTTATCTGATAATCCTGATGTGCTGAGTATGGAGAAGAGCCTCAATGACGCAGAACAGCGCATTTCTAAGGCAGTTGAAAGACTGGAAAGGAAAATAATTAAGGAACTGGCAAGAGATAAGGAGGAAGAGGATGATGAACCACCAATGGCATCACTCTACCCCCTGGTAGATGCAGGGTCTAAGGGCTCCACTGATGTCGGATTCTTGGTTTCACACACCCCGATTTCTTTTTCCATTGAGTCTCAGGACCCCATTTGGGTTCCCCAGTATCCCACCAAGTTGATGGCTGAGGAAGGTATCTCTGATACCATCCAGGGTCTTTTAGAATCTGGTGTTCTTATTCCCACGTCCTCCCCTTGGAACACCCCCATTTTGCCAGTCCCCAAGCCCGGCTCCACTAAGTATCGCGTGGTTTATGACCTAAGGGCTATTAATGATGTTGTTACCACACCTGTTTGCCTGTACCTAATCCCCACACTGTCCTGTCTCAGCTCTCCCCTGATCAGACTTGGTTCACTTGCATTGATTTGGCACATGCTTTCTTCTGCCTTCCCCTGGCGAAAGAGTTGCGCCCTATCTTTGCTTTCACATTCAGAGGCTCACAATATACTTATACGCGCCTCCCACAGGGTTTTGTTTTGTCACCAGGCCTCTTTAATCAGGCCCTCAAACTGATTTTATCTGACATCCAGCTCCCAGATGGTACCACTCTTGTTCAGTATGTAAATGACATACTCATTGCCTCTACCACCTCTCATTCATGTTTACAAGTGTCTCTGGCCATGTTACAAAAACTTGCTGAGGCTGGTTTCAAGGTCTGCCGCTCCAAACTCCAGCTCTGTAGGGCCACTGTCTCATTCTTGGGCCGTACACTGTCTAGATCTGGTACCTCCCTTTCTCCTGCTCACCGTGATTCTATTCTCCATCATCCTAAGCCCAGTACTGTCAAAGACATGCTATCTTTTCTTGGCCTCACAGGCTACAGCCGCCAGTATATTCCCAACTTTGTGGGCTTAACCGCCCCCTTGCGAGCAATGGTTCACTCATGTGGTATGCGCAATATGGCTGCTTCTCTTCCCTGGGATGTGCCAGCTGAAGAGGCTTTCATACACCTCAAACAGGAACTTGCCCTTGCCTCATTGGCAGCTCCAGACTATACCCAGCCCTTCTCTTTGGATGTTTCTGTCCAGAATGGCATTTGCAATACCATTCTGTACCAGAAAAAAGGGGGACAGAGGCAAGTGTTGATGTATGTTAGTACAGCCCTTGATACTATGGAAAAAAGACATCCTGACCGCACACAACATGCTGCAGCAGTCACCCGAGCTTTGGAGAAAACAGCTCACATGGTACTGGGACACCCAGTAACGGTGCACACTTCACATAGTGTAGTAGCATATGTACCATCACAACTTTTTACATTAACATCACTAAGACAACAGAGGTTGTGCAAAACCCTGGAAGCCCCAAACATCACTTTCAGCCATGAGGGAATCAATATGGCTGACCACATGGCCTCAAAGGGGGATCAGCGGCACAAATCCACAGCGAAATACCAGTGGTTCCATACTCTCCTTGTTTGCCCAGTGGCAGCCATGGATATCTCACCTGCATCCCTTTGTCTCTCCTCCGGATGCTCCCCATGTCACCCTCTTCTATGATCGCGATGGAGATGTCACATATGAGACCCTGTTTGAGGAAAGTTTGGCAGAAACAGTTCACCTCCTGCACACAACTGACATTTATGTTGGCAAAGAAGGGGTTGCTGCTCTGGCCCACTTGCCAGAGAGCTTAGCTCCCTGGTACAGGATGGACACTGTCTCTGTTCCACATGTTCCCCTTGCCCTTCATCCAGGGCACCAAGCCAAAGAACTGGGGCCAAAGATTAAGGCCCGTAGTGAAGTATCTGATTGGACTTCTACTCAACTTCCTGGTATTCTCCCTCCGCACAGAGCTACCGCATTCGTGCCTCTCGTTGTGACCACATTATTTTGGCTCATTCACTCATTTCTAGGGAACATGGTTGTGAGGCCACGGATCACCCACAGGCTGAGACTCTCTTTGCCACCCTACCACCCTCTTTGTGGTCTAAGGGCTCCACTGATGTTGGATTCTTGGCCTCGCACACTCCGATTTCTTTTTCCATTGAGTCTCAGGACCCCATTTGGGTTCCCCAGTATCCCACCAAGTTGATGGCTGAGGAAGGTATCTCTGATACCATCCAGGGTCTTTTAGAATCTGGTGTTCTTATTCCCACGTCCTCCCCTTGGAACACCCCCATTTTGCCAGTCCCCAAGCCCGGTTCTACTAAGTACTGTGGGTGGCTGTGGCTCACGAGGTAGGGCAGTCGTCTCCTGACCAGCAAGTTGGTGGTTTGACTCCCAGTCTCCCCGCATGCCTAAGTGTCCCTGAGCAAGACACTGAACCCCGAATTGCTCCCGGTGGCTTGATTAGCGCCGTTGTGTGGCAGCTGTCGTCATCGGTGTGTGAATGTGTGCGTGAATGGGTGAATGGTGGTATGATCTCCCTGTAAAGCGCTTTGGAAAAAAGCGCTATATAAAATGCAGTCCATTTACCATTTACCACATGGTCCATGACCTAAGGGCTATCAATGATGCTGTTACCACACCTGTGTTGCCTGTACCTAATCCCCACACTGTCCTGTCTCAGCTCTCCCCTGATCAGACTTGGTTCACTTGCATTGATTTGGCGAATGCTTTCTTCTGCCTTCCCCTGGCGAAAGAGTTGCGCCCTATCTTTGCTTTCACATTCAGAGGCTCACAATATACTTATACGCGCCTCCCACAGGGTTTTGTTTTGTCACCAGGCCTCTTTAATCAGGCCCTCAAACTGATTTTATCTGACATCCAGCTCCCAGATGGTACCACTCTTGTTCAGTATGTAAATGACATACTCATTGCCTCTACCACCTCTCATTCATGTTTACAAGTGTCTCTGGCCATGTTACAAAAACTTGCTGAGGCTGGTTTCAAGGTCTGCCGCTCCAAACTCCAGCTCTGTAGGGCCACTGTTGTGATGTGTTTGGAGAACTTCACTGTCCAGTAAAAGTGCCCTTGATAGTAGCTTGCCACATAGAATCACAGTATATTTTCAAGTACTGAGTAGGGCCATTCTGTTTGGTGGCAGGGAGCGACAGAGGTAGAATCACTTTTTTCTCAAGTACTATATCACATCACTTTGTGCACCATTGGGCTTCTGTATTATTGAATCAAGATTGTTTGTATTCTGGTGAGTTAGCTTATCCTCCAAAGACAAAGGCAACATGTTTTGGTATGGTAAGTGGTGGGTTCTGGGGCTCCTGACTCTGAACTCCCCCACCTACATAGACGCCATTGGGGTTCCGCGTGGGGTTCCAGATGAATATAAATTAGCTGATCAAATTAGCTGCAGGTTTTGAAAACCTTCCAATTATAGCGGCTTTGTTTCCTGTCACCCCTAATAAGAATGTGGACCGCATTAACTATGTTCACTATAATGTATTGCGTCTCGCCAATCGCACAAGAGATGCTGTGGAGGGCCTCTCTGAGCAAGTGGCTCCCACTTCCCTTATGGCTGTTCAGAACAGAATGGCTCTAGACATGCTGCTAGCAAAAGAGGGTGGTGTGTGCGCAATGTTTGGAGAGATGTGCTGCATTGAAGGCAGAGACAAAGATATGAACCCTAAACAAATGATGCCATTACTGGGTCAGGACGAGGGTGTTGATGAGTGTGAAAAACTCCCTGCCTACACAGAGAAATAAGGTGTGGTCTCTTTTGAGATCAAAAGGGGGAAATTGTGGAATATTAACGGCTTGCTGAGGTTGTGGCATTAACAGAAGCACTCAATTACGCCAGAGACCAGGCAGTGACAGTTTTTTCTGATTCTGCGTATGCAGTGGGTGCTGCACTTGTGGAACTACCCCAGTGGGAAAGAGCAGGTTTTCTAACGGCTGGAGGAAAACCAATACACCACCAAGAGGCCATGAGAGCTCTCGCTGAAGCGCTGCGACAACCCAGTGTGGTGGCGGTGGTTAAGTGCAAGGGACACAGCACAGGAAAAGACCAGGTAAGCAGGGGAAACCAGGCAGCAGATGCTGCAGCAAAAAAGGCGGCAGGATACAGACCTCAGAGTATGCTTGTTGCACAGGGCGAGGGAGATCCACCAGTTATGTGGATATTGGATAGTGAAAGGGTGAAAGCAGAACAAGGGAAGGCTTCCCCTGAGGAACGAACTGTCTGGGTAGAAAGAGGTGGCTGTCAGACTAGGTCTGGCCTATGGGTAGGTCCAGATGGACGCCCGATCTTGCCTTCAGGCTTGAGAGCAACTGCTCTGGCAGAGGCACACGGTCTCAGCCATGTGGGGGATTTGCAGATGGTGAGAAATTTGTGCCATTGGTGGCACCCTTTCCTGCAAGACATGATGAAAAATTATGTTAGGGAATGCTCTATTTGTTCACATTTTAATCTTAGACCCACTGTAAGGCCTGAGCAGGGTGGGTTCCCTATCATGACAAGGCCAGGACAGGAAGTGACTATTGACTACACAGACATGGGGAACACAGTGAGGGGTATGAGATATCTCTTGGTATGTGTGGATAAACTTACTGGCTGGCCAGAAGCATGGCCAGCTAAAAGGGAGGACAGCAGAACAGTGATCAAACACCTCATTAATGATTATATACCACGACATAGATTCCCTGAAAAAATCAGGTCAGACAATGGTACCCACTTCAGAAACAAAGACCTGCAGGAGGTGGAAGCAGCTCTAGGGCTGAAACATGGGTTTGGGAGTGTTTATCACCCCCAGTCACAAGGGAAAGTAGAGCGAATGAACACCCTCAAACAAAATTGGCTGAAATCTGTGCACAGACCAAACTGAATTGGGTAGACGCTCTCCCACTGGCCCTCATGTCAGTAAGACAGTCTGTTAATTCCTCCACTGGATTCACTCCATATGAGCTCATCACTGGCAGACAGTTTCCAGGACCAGCATCCAAGCTAACATGGGTTTCAGGTAAGCCAGACACACACAACACCCAACAACTGTATGAACAATTAAAATCTCTTGTTCACAGCTTCACCAGTCTAGCTACTGTCGCGACCATACTGATCCACACACGGCTGAATGGGTCCAGTTGAAAGTGATAAAGAGGAAGTGGAGTGAGCCACGGTGGACAGGACCATACAAGGTGACTGAGAGAACATCGCACGCAGTTCGCCTTCAGGGCAAGGGAGAAACGTGGTACCACTGGAGCCAGTGTGCCCCTGCGGAGGCACCGACAAGACCTCTGACAGAAGTCCAGGCAGACCTTAAACAGGTGAGAGAAGGGGCAGAATAATCCCCTCACCTGTTTGACACACAGGCAGTCTACCCTGTTGTGTTGAAGACAGAAGACCAGGCATAGAAGCAGACGAGCAGGTGACAACCTACATGAGCAGTGACAGCTGCCCTGACCATTTGGTGCCGTGGGAAGACGAAGATCTCTACACTCAAGATATTATTCAATACAGAGACAAAGACACTTTCTCCCCCTCCCCACCGGTTCCTAAACTAAGCTTCATTACTGCATGGGATACTGTAAGTGTGATATTTTTGGACAATTACTCCAACCCCCAAGGTTTCCATTTGCTACTGATTTTACACCTGAAACTAGATATTTTTGTAAGGTGAAAGTGGGACCATTTACATTCACAGTAGGAAGTGACAGGGGAAGAGTGACCTTCATAGATGATGATGTGAAAGGCCCAAGTAAGCATTCCCATCATTTTGTACATCATTGGGCAAATATTCACTTAAATCAGGACTGCCTATACTCAGGGGAACTTAATTACCCGGGTAGCCCCAAGCAGAAGAAACTAAAATGGTTTGGCATGGTCGATACCCACCCCCCAGGGGGGTTTTGGGCATTCTCATATTAATAACCTTGCTGGTTGTTACTCCCATACTCTGGTGGGAGAAACATGCTTGTACCACATTAAGTAAAAGAAATCTGAACCAGCAGAAGGAGCCTGACTAAGTATGGAGGGCTAGAATTAAAGTATGTGAAAGGCACAAATGTAAGTTATCAGTTTCATTGGTGTGATGTGATATCCTGTGGGAAAGAGGATAAATGTGAGTAGGGAGAACATGATATCTATCTGTGCCCAAACTCCTTACGTAATCTTGGCTGTCAAAGGAAACGGACAGGATCCGGTGCAGGGTGTGACAACTGGGGTCAGGTGTCTCATTGGACCGGACAGGGATGGATGGTCACCACCGGGGTTGGGTCTGACCAGGTCAGCTCAGAGTAAGATAAAATTCACCAAAGGTCAGTTACAGTATACAACCAAAGGTCAGTTAAGATGTAACTTGTTGCTTCTCTCCATATTCGATCTCAAGGATCCGGATATCAGCCCGGGTAGTTCAGGAACACATTACCTTGCGGGGATCTGGACCAATCTGGCTACACGCACGAATGACACTCTTTACTTTGTCTTGGGGGTGGACCGAGTTGGCAGGGATCCCAAGGGCCTGATAAAGCTAAGTTTCCAGAATCCAAAAACCCAGACAGAAAGTTCACAGCTGCAGACTAAGTCCTCCCAAGATGTGTCAGGAGGGAGTACATCCCCTGAGGTAATCCCCATAGACTACAACAAAATTACTCATAGAGATTTAATCAAGTTGGCCACGGGCTATGATGAGAAAAATGTTTGGCTTGATTGGCTTACCAAAACTGCTAAAGAACAGGGTATGGAGGATTGTGTGGCCTGTGCTTCAGCTAG